CATTCCGTTGTTTGCGTGCGGTTCATTAGCTTACGTAACCTCGTGTAATTCCACTTCGTCGCGGTATCGCTTGGCTTCGGGCGGTTGTGGACTAACAATCGTGTCTGCATACGTCGGCCCGCTTGGTTCGTTCGTTGAATCGGCGTATGGTCGAGCCTTGTGTTAAGGGGACCTATTAGGCAGTGCTTTATACGCCTACAGATACCCCCTCCAAAGTAGTTTCAGCCTCGTTCTTTATATTTAGGAAGGAGGTCCTGGAATACTTTGGATCATTGAGTTGCTCGTATCCTTTGGGATGTTTGAGTGGCTGTTCTGTGGCGAGCTGAGTCGGTTGCTGCAGTGCGGTCGAATTCGTGATTCTGATTTTCTAATTTTTAGCTCGGTGCTTGTTGCGTTCGAACATGTTGGCGGTTGGGTTTCTCTTTGCGACGCGTTGGGTCGGCGTGGGGTATTGTTGATATCCTTAAGAATATTTTTTAGGGAAAAAAATATTCTCCGGGAACGTTCTAACCAAAAATATAGGAATAGTTGATACTCTTATACCTTATTGGAGTATTTAGAAGCAGTTTATAACTCGTATGACTGTTCGGAGTATGTAAGAAGCAGTTTGATACTCGTATACTTTTCGGAGTATTGATTCTATTCATTGCAACGCATTGATCGGCGTTGGACCTAGGGTTAGCGGGTTGAACCGGCGTTGACCTAGAGGCCGCTCACACGGGCGGAAATCAAAGAAATCGAAATTGAATGATGTAGTTGTCACCTTACTATTTGGGATGGATGCTCTTGTGATTTTTTAAGAAAAACTAGTTGGAGTGTCGGTTTGGGCGGGAATCAAAAAAAAACAAAGAAAATGAAATTATAGAAACCTATTCTCTCCACGTTAGTTTTTGTTCTTTGTTCGTTCATCTTAAAAAATAAGAAATCGCTTGGGATGAGGAGTGTGAGTTGTCGAAACTGTCGGTACGTGTTTATTATTGGTGTGTGGTGTCGCAAGACGAATATTAGAAAGTTGGCGGGTTTTCTTATAGACTTTCCTGGGAGATGGTGTGGTATGAAGAAATGAGATGATCGAAACGTGTTAGTGATGCGGTAAAAGTTGTTCACGAGATCCAATAGATATTACTTAAATAGATATGACTGGATTGCGGATTCTTCTCTCAGGATTCTTTGGAATAAATCCACTCGCGTGCGGAATCAAGCTAACGGGTTGAAGAGTCAACGAGTCATCCAACCAAAGGAGGACTCGGACGAATCATGATCGAATCAAGATCAGTTTCGGACTCGAACTTAGAAGTGGATTTACTGCCAAATCAGGAATCAGATTTACTGCCAAATCAGGTCAACGATTCAAGTCCGGATAAATCAACCACAGAACCGAATCACGGACTGAACTGAAAATAGGAAAAGACAGAAAACCCAACACCTAGGGGACTCGGCCAAAACCGAGCCACCCATGGGTGGCCGCCCAGATCTGTGCGCGGGCACAGATCTGAGAGCCTATAAATAGGCCCTTGAGTGTTCATTTGTAGAGGTTGGATTTTTTGGAGGCGAAGCCCTGCTGGATTGAAGACTTAGATCTAAAAAAGATTCAAGCTTTAGGACTTCGAGGACTTACTCATCCAGATCTGGTGCTCGGCGATCGTCAACGCCAAATAAGGCAAGAGTTCGAGAGGACCGGATCTCAGATCTATGCAGGTACACTCCGGATCAAAGCTTGGTCTTTGATCCCGAGATTTGGACGATTGTTTCCTTGGCGAACCAATCCCCCCCGGCTATTATTTCCTTGGTGAAATAATACCCGTCGTACTGCGTAGATCCGACCGGATCTAGATCGCGCGGTGGTCCACGGATAAACCCCGGCGCAGGCAAAGAACCCACAAAGCGAGTGACCGCAAACAGGAGCTCGCGATTTGTTCGATAAAAGGAGAAAGTTGTAATCTTTTTCTTTATTTTTGATTTCGTTGTAACCGGATCTTATAAAAAGACCGGATCTTTGTAACTCAAAAAGTTGTTATTTAAAGATAGCAATGGAATCAATAATGAAGAAAGACACGGTTTTTCCCGCGAACAATGGCGATGTGGAGATTGTGAAGGTCCACACGAAGGATAATTCGATGGATATGTTCACTAAGATGGTTCCGAGCAATAAGTTTGATCATTGTCAAAATTTGTTGCACATTCATGATTGTTGAGGTCGTTGACGGACATTTGGATGAACTACGGGTGACTTGATCCATTGGGAGAGGGAGTACGTAGGCAACCACATTGGTGCAGCCGAATTTGATGAGATGACGTGTTGGTGCTCATGTTAATGTTGGCTCAGTTTTGAAAATACTTCGTCGAGGTGGAGAATTGTTGGACAGCATGTTCCTAATCTGTTTTGGTAACAGATTATTAGGATTCCTAATCTATTTTGGTAACATGATTTTTAATCTGTTTTGGTAACAGGTTATTAGGATTCCTAATTTGTTTTGTTTTTTGTTTTAGAATTCCTAATCTGTTTTGATTTTAGGTTTTCTATATATATAGAACGCCTTAGAAGAGATTAGGATCATCAAAAAGAGGAGAGTTGTAATCAGATATTAGAGAGACTTTTTGAGCATTGTGAGAGGAAGATATTATGAGCAAGTTGAGAGCTTTGGTTGAGAGTTAGTTTGTGAGTTTTGTGAGATTGTAACCCTTTGTACTCTCCTTGATTTAGTGGAATCCCCCCATCCTCTCCCCGTGGATGTAAGCAAATTGCCAAACCACGTATATCTCTGTGTTTGTGATTGATCAGTCGTATTCAGTTTTGGATTGTGCTCGTGTGTGATTGGTTATTCTTCTCCCGTACTTACGACTTGTTTGGTAAGCGAGCACGCTTCCGCATAGGCGCGCGACATAGTCTTGGACCGCTTGGTGAATCACAATATTTATAATTAAATTCTTGAGCTTATTCTGTGCTGGGAATGTGCTATCTGTATCTATATCAATATCTGCAACGAAAATAATCGTCTCGCTACACATGTCTTCAGTCTATAATCATTACATTAAGACGATGATTCCGTCAGGCAACAATATTACTATCTTAAACAAGGTAACATGGACAACACAGACGTCTATCTGCTCTGATCTTAACTCCAACACAGGTTCCTCAATAAGCAGTCCAATAACTCTCAAGGTCAACACAAGCTCCTGCACTACCAAACCCTCCATCTCCAGCGAGAACACAGTCAGTCAAAACCGACGAGTTCGGTTCAGAGACCACCTGCTGCTGGTGCATCGGCAAAGGCATGGGCCTGAGGACGGGCTGTTGTTGGGCTTGGGCCCCAAGGTTGAGGTTCAGCCCGGAGAGAGTGAAGTTGGATGGGTAGTTGAGTTGAGGTTGGATAGGGAGGTTGAAGCCTGGCTGTCCTTTTGCGAACCTTGCGAGCTCTGCGAGCTCGGAAGGAGTTAAGTGGTGGTTGCGGTTGAGGGCGAATTGGTAGGGGTCGGTGGCAGAGTGGAGGAGGGAGGGCATCATGGCAGTGCTCATGTCGATGGTGTAGGGATTTGCTGCTCGAGCTTGGTTCGAGGGATACTTTTTGGCGCCAGAGCTTTTCATGAACACTCGGCAGACTACCCATTCGTCCTGTTTGTGTCAAGAAGAAGCAAAACATTGTCAGATATATATGGAAGAAATTCAGTGAACTTTAAGGCTTTGTAGTCTTAATTTGGGTAAGGTTTGTTTAGTTTTGTTAGATACTAGATTTATATCTTAATTAGGACAATGATATGAATTGCACTTTAACCTCCTCACAATGTTCATTGTGATTGACAAATGAGACTCATGGTACATACTTTCATAGGCCCTGAACAGAGGAGCCATGTGTTATGTGGATGCTTTCTTCAAACAAATTAGAATGGCGACAAAAACCGAAAAGGCCTGTACTCAATAAAGAAAGAAATAAGTAAATAATAAAGCATTTGTCCCAATTTTTCAGGGTTTGGCTACATGAATCATATTCCTCCGCTCAGTTTGGTTGCTTATAAAAAAATTTGAAAAGGGTGTATCCTTCTCTAATGCAATAAAAATTGATGACAGGTCCATATAAATATGAAGCAAGACGCATCATAATAGGCAGTAGAGCAAATAAGTTATTTGAGAGGGTTCCAACAAATTGATCGTAGGAAAAAAAAAAGCTCACGCATGAAACCAAGTGATTAGTCGACAAAGATACGATCTTTCAAGTTTTTTCATCCCTCTAGTACTTCTGTACTTCTTTTTCAACAACGGTTCGAACTTTCACAAGAGTGATCGGGGATACCTTGTTAGCTTTGAAGGTAGGTTTTGATTGAAGGCGATACTCATGCATGACCCAGTTGGTTTTCTCCCCTCTCGGAGCTCTGCCTTTATAGAACACCAATGTCTTCTTCATCCCAACAAGCTCTGAGCTCTGGCTATTGAAAATCTCCTTGTCCTTGCCCGTCGTCTTCCAGTAACCAGCGCTGGTTGCTCGGTTGGTCCGCACTCCAGTCGGGTACTTCCGATCCCTTAGGCTGAAGAAATACCATTCTTTCTCTCCCATCTTT